AACACGTATCCGTCAATTTGCGTTAATTAATATTCGAGTTTTCAACATCACCATATAATTTCTGTTTAGATTATGACAGATCCAGCGGTTCGGATGCGATGCTGTGCTGCGGCCGCGTGCGTTACCGCCGTGAGTATACGCGTGCTTCACCCCTGTCCCGTCGCGTGAGTATTTCCCTGCTTACGTCGTGCTTCGTGACTTATACCCTCCCCTTACTGAGTGCGTGAGTATACCTGCTCCACCGTGCGTCGCGTGTGGCATCGTGCGTGATATTACCCCTGCTTACGTCGTTGCGTGCGTGAGTATACCTACTTACGTGCGTGCGCTGCATGCGTGAGTATACCTGCTTACATGCGTGCCGTGCGGCGCGTGGCGGCGTGCGCGTCAGCGTGCGTGCATGCGTTCCAGTATATTCTTGCTAACCACGTGCGTACTATGCGTCGTGAGATGCGTGCCGTGCGGACGTACTACTCTGCTTAACCCGTTTCTCGCCCCGTGCGTGCATCCCGCCGTTTATGCTACTACCCTTGCTTCTCCACCCATCCTAGCGTACCACTCGCTGCAATGCGTTCAGCCGTGCGTAATACCCTGTCTCCTATCCGCCGTTGCGTCCGTGTGAGTATATCCTGCTCCTACGTGCGTGCTCCCTGCGTGCGTGTTGTGTCGATGCCGTGATAAATACCTGCTTTCATCCTACGTGCTGGATGTATACCTGCTGTACGTGCGCTGTGCCGAGTATACCTGTGCTTTCACCGTGGCCCTGGCTCGTACGGTGCGTGTGGGCAGTATACCTGCTTACTTTCGTGTGCAGTACTACCTGCTTACGTTGCGTGTGGGAGTATACCTGCTTAGCGGCGTGTGGGAGTCGATAACCTGCTTTACGTGCGTGCGTGCATGTGGTCTCGGCGTGCGTGCGTGCGTGCATCTACATGCTTGAGTATATCCTGCTTAGCGTGGGCTTACGTGAACCATACCTTCCTTATTGTGCGTGCGTGCTGCGTGTCGTGCGTGCGTGCTGCGTGCATTGCCGTGATTATACCTGCCCATTACGTGCCGTGCGTGAGTATAACCTCTTACCGTGGCGCCCCCGTGCATGCTTCGTGTGTGATGAGTACTCAAGCGTGCGAATGCCGTGTTGTATGTTTGCTCATACAATATCAGTATAAATATAGACAACTCATTACATAATTATTACGCCAATTATAATGTATTCTCTACCAACACACACACTCACACAGATTTTTTACACCCTCTCCTTTTTAGATCTAACTACACACGTACCGCAACTTACAACCCCGCGCATACTCTAGTCGGCATTCCTTTGTCACTTCATGCAATATATAAGGTCCTGGCCTTCCCTAAAGCTAACTCAGCGTCGCCCTCTTACGACCTAGTCGCCGACAAAATTTGAAGAGGCGTACGTCAAAAAAACGGTCCAGATCGCTCGACTAAGTAATCTCGTGATAAAAAACATCGCGGAGACTAAACCTCCGACACCGAGTTCTCTTACGATCGAAAATACGGTCGCCGACTGCGATCGGAGCAGAATCAGAAATGTTCATTTCTACTCGCGGCCGTCCCGCATGACAAATCGTGAGTGTCAGCGAATTCCCGCACTCACGTGTCGATCACATATTATCCAAAAAGTCACGTGATTACCAAAATTGGCAGCCTATCGCAGCCGTTTACAAGAGGGATTATTGCCACAAATCCTTTTCCTCAAATATATAATAAGTTTTCGCGTATATCACGCAATTGTTAAAAATATTTTCTGCACGAATGGATTAACTAACCATTTCATAAAATTCGCGGATAGATTACGAAGTTACCTTATTTTACCATGTAAGCGCCATTTTTGTTGATCCATGTGACTTCGTTTATGTAGCACTGGTCCCGGGTGTCAAGCTTTGCTCTGTCTTTGTGTCTAAAGAACTGCTTGGGCTAGTCACAAACACTGGACCTGCGGTTCTCATCTCGCGAACCCGTCGTACGTTTCCTCCCGAATGCTACTATTCTGATCCGCGAGAGTAACAGCGTGGAAGTCCAACTTCAATCGAGGGGGGTACGTGAGTGTTGCTATGCTGGGCTAACTCGGCGATAAAGTCGTCGCTCCGATAGTGAAATCGTAGGCGACCTAACAGGCTCTAAAGACACCTAACTTTAAAAACAAACTCGGCCGTTTCTCTATACATCTATAGCGCACTAAGCACTTCTGAGAACCTGATCCAGCACAATGGGAAAATGAAAGATGGTGGGGGGATGTTAAACAACATCATGAGAATAGCAGCGGATCCCTGGTAGAGGAAATGATATCCACACATATCACGTGCAAGCATAAGCTAATTCATTCGCAGTCGGGTGTTATCACTTGTCTAGGGTCTTTCCTCCCAATGTGATGTTAGCTTGTGTTCTTGAGATTTGCTTGTTGATTGCACCTGCAGTCCACACGCTATCAATGCACTAGCCGTTTCTCTCCTGTATGAATGCCCTTCGTGTTCGCTTAGAGATTTTTGATGACGTACATTTGTAACTCCGCGCTTTGCCTTCCTTTTCACATGCATAGGCGCTTTCTTCACCTGAGTGAGATTCGACAAGTGTAAGAACAACCTCAGCACGACTCCAAGTGAAACCTGAAATATGCAACAAATGCCACCCACCTAGGTTTTCTCTCCTCCCTGGTTAGCTCGCATTCTCTTAAGATGGCATAGTTGCCGCCGCGCGACCTGTTATCACCATGTGTCACTCTGCATCAAGGCTTTCGCCCTGAGTGCTGAATGCCTTGTGTTCTTGAGTGAGTCATCAACAGAGCATCCTATAAACTCACCAAGGTATCACAAGCATAGGGCTTCTTCACTGTGTGAATCGCATTGTGTGTCTTGAGGCTCCAGCCATTTCGACCGAGCCCATATCCACGACGGTCATCACGACCCGCAATACCTTCATCTTCTCCTGTGTGAGTCGCCTTCCGCTCGTTTCTTACACGACTTGGATACGCACTGAGTGCACCTGCGTTTACAGCCACATGTGTCCACACTTGTAGGTCTTCTTCTCTATGTGAGTCTCGCCTTCGTGTGCGCTGGAGCAGCATAGGGATGTCGTAAACATTTCATCACTCGCCATTTGTCACATGTCCAGTTTCCTCTCTTCTCGTCGTGAGAGCCGCCATATTATTATTTAACACTGATAGGTTGACGACGCACTGTAGTCCATGTTGTCACATGCATAAGCGCTTTTCACCCTGTGTGACATGCCGCTCGTTCCGCTTGAGTTGAGTCCATACAAGACGCATCTACTGATCACACATATACACTCCCATTCAGGCGTTTCTCCTCACCGTGTGAGTTTCCGCTTGTTGCTCTGCTAAGACTGGGCTAATATTGAAGCTGCCACACTTGTCATTCACACCTGTACCTCACCATGCCATCAAGAAGGCACTATTTCCACTCTGTCCCCTACCTATGCGCCACTATCGTTCCTGTGAGCCGCTGCTAGTCAATCAACCTCGCTCATCTAATACATCACGTGTGACTCAGTCATCCTCTATGCCACATTATCACACGCATCTCTTAAACCATCGAAAGATTTCTCATCTGCTTGAATGCACGGAATGACCAAAGCGGTGAGGCTGAACAATCGCACTTGTTGTCTAAGAATCGGATAGTGAGTGCACCTGTCTTCACACCCCTGTGTCACATTTGTACGGCTGCTTTCTCCTCCTGCTGTGAGCTCGCTTGTGCGTTGTGCTTGAGATATTGAGGATCTACCTTTGTACCTCGCATCCTTGCACATGCATACGGCTTCTTCTTCCCTGAGTGTGATTGCGAAAGTGGCATCCTTCCCTCATCTACTCCAAGTGAGAACATTGAATATGAACAACATATCACACCACGTATATTTCTCTGCTGCTGTGTGAGTTCGCTTGTGTTGCCCCGTACAAGAGTGAATAGTCCCGAGTGCACCTCAATCACATGTGTCACACTTTGTAGGCTTTCTCTCCTTGTGTTGAACGCGTTTGTTGTTGCTTAAGGAGAATTGATTACGGTACATATTGTTACTGCGCATTTGTCCCATCAATAAGGCTTTTCTCCTGAGTGTGTTGTCGAAGTGCTCCTTCAGACGGATTGCAAAGTGAGAACATGAAATATAAACCAAATGTCACACACTAGGTTTCCTCCGTCCCTGTGTTGAGTGCGCCTGTGTCACTTCAAGACTGGATAGTTATGACGTGCACTCGTGAGTCGCCACATGTGTCGCAACTGCATAAGTTTTCTCTTCCTGGTGAGTTCCGAAAGTGGCTCTTCCAAGCAACGTACTGTAGAACATAAATTATGAGACAAATGTTACACACGTAGGGTTTCTCTCCTGTATGAATGCGTTTGTGTTTCTGGAGAGTAGAGGACAATGAACATTTGTACTCACATGTGTCACATGCATAGGGCTTTTCGCCCGGGTGAGTTCGAAAGTGCACCTTCAGACGACTCAAGTCAGAACATGAATATAAACAAATATCACACACATGAGGTTTCTTTCCATGTGTGCGCATGTGAGTCGTGAGATTAGCAGAGGTAGTGCTGACATGTGGGCAAACATCACACGCAAAGGGTTTCTCTCCTGTGTGAATGAGCATGTGGGTCTGCAGATGCTTCTCTAGTGCGAATCTGTGTCCACACGTATCACACGAGTGCGATTTCTCTCCTTCTGCAGGCAGTACATCTAAGTGGAAAGACTCCATCACACAGGTGGGAAGCTAAGCAGTTTCTTCCCCCGCACAAATTCTCCCGTCTGTCATTCGACTTCCTGCGAGAAAAAAAGATACACATCAATCCCCAACTTCCTTCAGCTTTAGACATTTTTATTGTAAACACGGTTGTCTATATGAATACGATGAAGATTTGCAATGATTTTGACCATCTCCTCCGAATCTTAGTTCATTAATCCACATGAGCACACCGACATCAACTGCACACCTATGCAAGCTGAGGTTTCCTACAAGTATTATGGTGATAATCGACCTCAGTCGTTGGGCACCGTGACACCTATGTCCTATTGGAGCTCCGCTGGCACTGATGGGGTTTTGGGGGGAAATATGGCCTTAAATTTCGTTTAGAAATATGTTATAAAACTAGAAATGGCAGTTGTCGCCAACTACATGTATCCCCGCGATCTAGTATGAATAAAATATCTCCGTAAGGACGTACAAGGTAGGTAAAGTGAAATAAGTCACAAAGACAAAGGTTTGTTACCCAGCTCATCTGCCTCAGACGCAGTGAAAAAAAATTTTTCTTTTCGGGGCTCTTTTTGCAAACCCCCCAAAAATTTCGGTGGCTACTTTTTCATTTTCCAGGGCTCTTTTTCCACTTTCCAGGGCGAATTTTTTCCAGGGCTGTTTCCTCAAATGTACGCACAAGCACAGTAGCTAATACAAACTCGCGGGGGCGCGCACACACCATACACACGTCACACGCACGCACGCACGCACGCACGCACGCACACACAC